ACTAAGTAATTGCGATATATTTTTTTATTTGTATATTATGTTGTCGTCGTGGCAATATAATTTTTTATAATAATAAAGGGAGGGGGTCCGCTGGGCTCCCAATTTTTTATTTTTACGCGATAGTGTGAACAAGTATTGGTCATCAGTTATACTATTATTTCGATTTTTATTAGCACCGCTAAAATCTAATATACGCTAATCGATTTTTTATAAGTTACATTACCGGTTCTTAAATCATAGTAATAACCTACATCTTCTTCGTCATCAGAAACCATCGTGTCTATATCATTTATCTTATCATTATCAGAAAATGATACGTCTTCTTCAGAATCATTGTCGTGGCTACAATCACTATCATAGTCTGTCTGAACTTCATTAGTTCCTTTCTCCATTGACGAAGGCATGGTATCATCATAGTCATTAGCTTTGGGCGAATTATCTGGACCGATTACTTTGGAATCACCTAAAGAATTAGGTGCAGTTACTTCAGAAGATTTAATCACGTGCGCGTTACTTTTCGTAACGCCGACGATCACTTTTTGGCATTCATCCGTATCAGTAGGCTGTTTAGGAAAACTATTTATAATACCCTGAATTTGAACATCGCTTAGACATGAAATAGCATACGTGCTATAGGTAATTCGTTTGATCTTATCTATCCCTATCCCTGTGAATAGTGTGTAAATTTTTTTGGCTCTGAAGGTTTTCTGACGTAAGTTTACATCAGTAATGTTGGGAAGAAGAAATTTTATTTCATTATACACCAATGTTCTCGCTGATTGGTCATCGATATTTTTCATACCTTTACAGTCTTCAACCCGATCCTCATATGCTTTATAGAAACAATACCAGCATAGATTCTCCTTTTGCCCGACCTTTATTGCCACGTTAAATAAATCAGCTATACTTTGCATTGCAATTTTATTAGATCCAATTAAAATCGTCTCAAGAGGGAATTCAGGAATTTGAATATCAAATGAGCTATGTTTTTCGATATCATCATCTTTGGTAAAAACGGATAGCTCATGTCTCAAACCTTGCTCCACTTTCTGATTGTATGGAATTTTTGTTTTTTCATCACATAGTGACCAAGAATTACTATCATCAGAAACAACATTCGCTGAGTGCTCCACACTTATTTCGTTCTGTTTTTCTTTCTCTATCCCGTGCGAATTGTAAATGCTTGATTCTTCGAGCGTTGAGCTTTCCTCTTCAGAAGATGTTGGAGACATTAGTTCTTGAGTTCGAAGTTTCTTTTCCCTATTCCTCTCTCTCATCAGATTACTAACCATTTTCTTGTTTTCCGAATCCAAGAAAGAATCCATCTCCTTTTCTTCCAATGATTTTGGATATCTTTTGCAAGGTTGAGGTAAATTGACAGGTGACACCTTTGGTATCGGTTCTTCGGGAACAAAATCATCTATTTCCTTATCTGATACCTTTGCTATCCCTTCTATTGACTTGGTGTCGGCATTATTTTGTTGGTCCACTACGGAGTTGGATAAATCAACAGTTGATACCGAATTATCTATAGATAACCACACCTCTGCTATCGCTTCCTTACCATTCTGTGTCTGACCATCCACAACAAAGGAAGCCTGTTCCACTATTGCAAGTCTAGCTTCAAGCTCCGTGTTCTTTTGTTCTAGTTCCTTGACTCTGACATCACGCATCGCATTCTCCTCAATAATTTGCTTCAACTTCGCATTCTCAGCCTCAACCTCAGCAAATTTCTTTTCAAGTTCAGGAATCTTATCATTTTCCTTTCTAAGCTTCGCAATCTCAGTTAAGAGTTTAGCATTTAATTCTCTTAATGAATCAATGGTGTGAATATTTTCCATTATTTTTATAAAATACGGGTATATTCAAATTTCAGATTAATAAAAATAACGTGCGCGTTACTTTTCGTAACGCAGATCATTTTTGCCAAGAAAAAAATTTTTTATTAATATATGCGAAAAAATAAATACAAATGTTCGGGACTAGCCCGTGATACATATTATTTTTTGATATACATCGATAACAATACAATAAAATAAATTCACGAAATATACATGTAAAAGTAAACGCGATTATATATGCAAATCGGCAGGGATAGCTTTATTAATATGTAAATTATTCGGGATCTACTATTTTTTGCGGACACTGAAATCGTTTCTGTCGGAAACTATCTACCCTATTACATTTTTTTAATCTTGGTCCTCTTATTAGATGGAAAATTGTCAATATTAACCCGATCCTTCAACAAATAATGATTACTACTTCGGAGAAATCAAAATTTCCTTTAATCCCAACTTGGCGAAATCAAGGTAATTTGATAATCGTAACAATATACCAGTGATAAGGTGCCAATTGATGGCAAATCAAGACCAATGAGTAAAAAAAGAAAAATAACACAAAACACTATACCATATATATATGACCCGCCTTAAATTTTTATTGACCATTCAAAATAACGTTTTACAGCCAGTTAATGTTCAAAAACATGATATACATATAAAAAAAGGCTAATTTAGAACAAAACCTAATATCTAATTAGTACGACGCCTTTTAATACGGGTACGTTTTGAGTCATCGTCATAT